GCAAAAGTGAGTACACCCCTAAGTGACAATGTCCAAATTGGGCCCAAGTAGCCATTTTCCCTCCCTGGTGTCATGAGACCTGTTAGTGTCACATGTCTCAGGTGTGAAGGGGGAGCAGATGTTCTCTCTCTCACTCTCTCAGACTGGTCACTGGAAGTCCTACATGGCATCTCATGGTAATGAACTATCTGAGGATCTGAAAAATGAATTGTTCTTATGGCCTAGGCTATAAGAAGATTATAGGGACGTGGTGGCACTGCGGGCTAAACCGCAGAAGCCTGTGCTGCAGGGTCAGAAGACCAAGCAGACGTAAGATCGAATCCATGCAACGGAGTGAGCTCCCGTCGCTTGTCCCAGCTCCCGCCAACCTAGCGGTTCGAAAGCATGCAAATGCAAGTAGATAAATAGGGACCACTTCGGTGGGAAGGTAACAGCATTCTGTGTCTAAGTCGCACTGGCCATGTGACTACGGAAGATTGTCTTCGGACAAACGCTGGCTCTATGGCTTGGAAACGCGGATGAGCACTGCGCCCTAGAGTCGAACACGACTGGACAAAAATTGTCAAGGGGAACCTTTACCTTTACCTATAAGAAGATTGGCAAAACCCTAAAACTGTGCTGCAGCATGGTGACTAAGACCATTCAGCAGTTTAACAGGACAAGTTCCACTCAGGTCGACCAAAGAAGTTGAGTGCCTGTGCTGAATGTCATATCCAGAGGCTGGCTTTGGGAAATAGATGTATGAGTGCTGCCAGCATTGCTGCAGAGGTTGGAACACTGGCAAATCAGTGCTCTAGCTCATGTGGAGAGCCTGCCATGGATATAGGCAATCTCTTCTTCAGACTCGTCACTCTCCATGTTTAGGAGAGTTATGAAGGAAAAGAGGATGGAAATACAGTTCTCCCCTATGTCCATTGTAAGTATGCACAATTTGCTGACAGCTGAATAGGACCAAATATGCTACTAAAGGGGTAATATGAATAACTTCCTTTACAAAAATGAGCAAAGATGGACTAGGAGCATAGTAAGGTCTTTGAAAACAGGCCTACCCACCAAGCCAAACAGAGCAGACTGGTCATGTATTATAGCCTGTGTTTGCAACCCCCCTGTTGCTGTTGTTGATGTTTCTCACAATCTCAGGTTGAAACTACAAGTTAGGGGGTATGTATTCCCAATGATTAGCATTTTTTTGCCCCTTGATAATAGGATTTCCTTGCAGATGCATGCCCCATCAATCAAACAGGCAAATAAGTCCTGTATTTAACTTCCTGTGAGACCATTTTTTTTACAAAAATTATGCTGGAATGGAAGAAAGCATATGCAAGACAAACAGATGACATTCACCTATTAAGAGAGCACCAGTTCTCAATACACACTAAGCATATTGTCTGTTTCAACCCTCAGGTAGACTGCACAGACTGCATATTTGTCAAGCCTTTGGTGAGCCAATCATATAGCTGGAAAACTGAGTTCACGTTGATATGTCGCACAAAATCCTTCACCATTCTCTGGTACTGCACAGACAACATCCCAGCCAGCTGCATTTCTTGGAATGGTGCCAATGCAAGAATATCACAACATCACATCCTGCCATGGTCACTTCAGAAAGAATAGGAAACTATGGAGTACCAGAAAGTGGCACATTTTGAAGACTGAGAATGTTCTGCCACTCAGGGTATAAAAGTAGCAGCATGCAAAAAGAGACAAATCCTCTAGATTTTGCCTAACAAAACTCACAAAGTTTCACACAGCCTTTCCTTCGGGTGGGGGAGGTGTGTGGAATTGTTTGATTCCACCCCCCTCCCATCCTTCCCCAGTATCCTACAACAGGGCTGGAAGGAAAATTCTCAAAATGTTGGTGCATGAATAGTTGATATGCTTTCTTTTGAGTGTACTGTGTGCGGTAGGCTGAAGGTTACCTCCATCTCTGTATCCCACCCATCACAAGTGTGGAGAAAATAAAGGGAAAAATAAGAGTTTCTGCAGACTCTTTTCTTCCTGTCTTCCTTTAGTAACAAACACACACAACAAACACACACACACACACACATGGAGAAAATAAAGGGAAAAATAAGAGTTCCTCATGATAGCATAAATGTAGGGTTCTCATTTTAGGGTAGCTATCCAGCTTAGGGGACATACATTAAAAAGGGATGAATGGGAAGGGCCAGACAGGAGGGGGCTCCTAGCTTTCTTTGTTCAGTACTCCTACTCAGCCACCATTTTTCAAGCACTGTCATTGTGTGCAATTGGAATGAGGAAATGAAAGCCAGCATATTAGCATGCTGATAGTGGAGGTGTAGGGAGGGGTTACTTCTCTGAGAGTAATACAAACATCAACTTTAATGCAATCAATAATAATTCTAAAGTTATATATAGCTGAAAATAGTAATAATACAAGTTTTGACAATCATATGTTCCTAGTGGGTGCAAATTAAGTTTAAAGCATAAGAAGCACTGCTGCAGTCTAGCACGATATAGCATAAATGTGCCCTCTTCCTAAGCTTTAGCGTGCTTCCCACCTGCCCTTTTTTCTTGTCTTTTAGGATGATGAGGATGCAGAAGCAAAACACTGGCAAGGAGGACAACACTGGAAGCAAGATATCCCATAGCCCAGCTTTCATGTTCCTTCTGTGGTGGCAAAAACATCTACATCATCTGCCATTTTGGATTCGTAATGCCTCAGGCTCTGCTCTGAGGCAGGAGTCTTCATCCATTTTCATGTATCTGCACTACAAATGAACTCTCATATTAAATATTCAGTTTTATCCACCTTGTATCATGCCATCACAATCAGGAAAAAAAAAGGAAGGGCATTTTAAACTGAGACAACTTACCTTCATGGCTGAAATCTTTATTGTCCCAGTGATAAGATGTATCAAAAAATGGGCCAAGATGCATAATAACATCTTTTGATGATGATGATGATGATGATGATGATGGTTATGATTATGATTATTATTATTATTTATGCTTATTATGATTATGATTATGATTATGATTATTATGATTATTGTGATTATTGTGATTATTATGATTATTAATATTAATATTAATATTATTAATAATTGTTGCTGTTGTTTCTGTTGCTGTTGTAGTTGCATTTTACCTCACCTTTCTATCATCATCATCACATGTTAAAATGCTCCATGTGATCATCCCCACAACCACTCTGCATTATCATCTCCTTATGAAGAAGAAGGGGGGGGGAGAGGAATCACACATGTCCCTTACTAGGGTTTCTAGTTTGCAGCTCAGGATCTTCATCTTTATGATACATCAGCTTTCAACCAAGCATTACATTAGGAGAGTATAAAGTCTGCCTCTCAAGATACAGTACTTTTGGAGTGCATTTCCCCCAAGCCTTGGCTGGCCTAAATAATGGTGAAGAAAACTGGAATTTGCAGCCCAATAGCACTTTGTCCACTTTTCTGTTACACAACAAACAAAGAAATGTGTTTCTCCTCTGTTAATCTCTTACAATCCCTTCTCCCATATGCATGGATCCACCAAACCAGAGGAAGTTTTTCACTGGATTACAAGCATGGCAGCTGGCTAAGAATGGAGAAAAAACTCATCAAGTGCTTAGTAATCATTTGTAAATAAAACAACAACAATAACATCCTAATGGGGAGTTTTCCTTCATGATGTAATGAATCAGATATCAATTATGACAGAAGAAATTTTGACTTATCCCCACCCCTTTATAGGCTTTCTGTGGTCAAAGTTAATTTCAGCAGCAAGGAGGATGAGACACTTGAAGCCCAACCTTTGCAGGTTTATCAGTGTGGGGAATAAACTAGACCAGGAGATCAAGCCTTCCTAAGGTCCACTGCCACTCCCTATCCAAAGATATAGGAAGAGAGAGCCAAGTTCCCCCTTCATTGTGATGGTCATTATACTCATGACCAGGAACAAGTGAATCATGATTGATCTGCATTGATATTGCTAAGCATAACTCAGAAATTACAAAGGAAAGTACTCATATATGGATTGCTGAACTTCATGTTTGGATTTGCTCCTTCATCCCTATAGTGCTGTAACATAAATTAGAAATAAGAAAATAATTGCTCTTCCCCACCTTGAACCAGATTAGGGGAAAATGTACAAAACTGCATTTAGTGAAGCTTTTTTACATGTTTCAGTTGATTTCTATCCATAATTAGGATAGTGAAGGAATGTCTCTCCATCCCCTCTGATCCTCTTAATGCATTGTTTGTGTGGTTTTGAAAATGCGAAAAAAGAGAGATGTCACTGCTCAGCTTTCCTACCTCAAAACATATTGGGCTCATTTGAAGTAAGAGACTGTTCAAAATACTTTTAGATTTCTCTCTTTTCTTGCTTCACTTATTGCATGGCTAAAGCCCAGGTATGAAAAGCAGTTTGCACAACTGAGAGCTATTAAGCCCCTTTTCAGGTTAAACAATGACATTTGTACAGAGTGAGAGTCTAATCCTGACTGTTGCCTATGTAAAACCACTTGCATGTACAATTCAGAGTCTGTTAATCTAGATATAAAATATGTGATCTTCAGCTAGTATCTGGCAGGGAGGGAATTAGGTGAAACCGGCCTCCCGAATCACAGTGTACAGATTTCAAAGTCCTGATAATTCTCAGGCGAACGAGTGGAGGTTCCTAAAATCACATCAAAAAGAAAAAAAAGAAAACGTGCTTAGTCCTTCTTGGTTATTTGCCCTTTGATGTACGTGGGGATGAGAGAAGAGGGGAAGGGGAAACAGGAGAGACTATAATCAATGAAACCACCGCATTGACAGGGCGGGGGGTAGGGGGACGGATAAGGTGGCGGCAGAAGATTCCCCACCGGCGCAATGAACGTTGCTGCCCTCCGCAATAATCCACCTCAGCCGCGTCCCTCTTC